CAGTGTATTAGAGCGTGGCCCTACCCCATATTGGCACCCTTGTGAAGCATCGGAAGTACCAAAAACACCAGCATTAGCGTGTCCTTCACCTTACCACAAAAGAAAAGAACAAATCACAAATACTGACACTCATCATCTTGATCTATATTGACAGGAAATGGGATTTATTTTACGGAAACATGCCTTGAGTGTTTGATGAAGAGTTAATTGCACTAATTTCCAAAGTTGCGGCGGGAAATGTCAACTTTGCCTAGAATTGTTAACTACATGTGTTGCTTAATTTTAATTTTTTACTTTTAACTGGTTTGACCTCCTTTTCCTCATGTACGAGAGGCAAAAATAATTTATTCACATGTAGTCACACATTAAATATTCTGCCTTTTTAACGTTAATTACTACGTTTATATGAAAATATTTTTAATTATTTACTGTCTAAATACATTTAGCATGGAAATTAAGGCTTTTTGATTAAACTAAAATTCTTCTAAATTATGTGCGCGACAAGTCATAGCGGCCACACAACGTGCACATGTGGGTCACGTCCTTGAAGAGGACAATGCTGTTAAAAAATTGTAAAAAAGTAAATGAAAACAGCAAAGAAAGGCTAAATTTATAAAAAAATACTAACAACATTTTTTTATTGTATCCTAAACACAAACAAATGTATTCATCGTTGTTCACGTTTACTCTTATTTTAAGGCATTTAGATAAACAAACAATATTTTCGCAAAGTATGAATAATGTTTTTCCAAAATGAGCAGATATAGAAATGAGAGCAAAGTTGCTGTGTTTCTCGCGACAACTTTGCGGTGGCAAACTTAAACTTGCGGTGGTGTGCGTGTGGGACATTTTGATTTTAGCTAAATCGCGTATTTTTGGGCAAACAGCTGACAATTACCCAGTCTTACTTAATGAGTTGAGTTCGTGAATTTATACTGTTAATATGGGGGTTAGTATTTAACGAGGAGGAAGCCTAAAGTGTAATCACAAAATAAAAAATAAATATAAAAGTGCCATTGTCTGCTGTTTGGCAAAACATTGGGAAATAGGAGTGGTTCGAACACCACTTGTTGTGCTAAAAGTGTGGGGATGAAGGAGATTCAGTTGGCACCGTAAGAGGAATCGACTCCGCACACACACCCACTTGTCCCACCAGAGAGCGG